TATCATCTGACACGCAGGCACATGAACACAAATGCATACATAGCCCCATCTTCACACAAAACCACCGAGGAGAAAGTAGGTGGATGGGAACAGGGCACCTATGACTACTAAGTTGGAAGAACACATTCGTGGTTGTCTCTTGAAAAGGGAACTGAGGACCACTATCAGGAGCATAGTAAACCTTCAACTATTCCTTTTGTTATTGCTGTGCTAAGGATTGACCTGTCTAAGGCCTCAGACATACTAGGCAAGTGCTTTGTTATGGAGCCACATCCCCAGCCCCTTATCCCAAATATTGATTGGACAGCTGATTTTATCCCACCCACCTCCTGCCCCGCCTCTGAATGGGGCTCCCAGACAGGGAAAGGTGATTCTAAAAGCATCAAGAGAGCAAGGAGAGGGAGTGTGAATCTGCTCTTGGTGGCACACTGAATTGACAGATGGGGCTAGTTCCTGAGATCCAGTTCTCTCCGTCTCTGCCTGGGAAATGAGAGAGGCCCCTTTAATCTTGCACCTAGAGGAATGGTGTGTGAGAGTGCGCACGCATGCACAAGCAGGCAAGCTTAAGGTTTCTAAATGGGAGAGTTAAATGGCTTTTACAGTCCTTTACAAAGTGAGCTTACAGATGAGTGGTTTTTAGAATCTCCAATCAACTGCAAAAGATGGCAGTCCATTATCACAAGAGGCTCATGGAGTGGTTACGAGCAGAGGCTCAGGAGGTAACCTAAATAGGGCTCACTTACCTGGGGATACCTATCCAGGAAGTAGGAAGGCTAGAGTCTACCCAAAGCCCAGCCTGTGCCACAGAGACCCCTAGAGGAAGTGTAACTGTGGGCTTTCTCCCTGTTGACATAAACATAATAGATAGTCAAACATCCATGGGACACTATGGAGCCAAGGCCGCTGGAATTGAACTAGTAGGTAGCTGCACTGCATACTAGCTCTTCCTGGTGGGCATTGCCAAATAAAGTGAGAGGGCTCAAGGGACTAGAGGCCACCTGCTCAGCTGTGACATCTATGTGACTCTGGAACCTACACTATGGCCCTCAGTGTACATTGAGGCCCTAATTCTTAGAGCTGCAGGGGTTCCTGAGCAGCAGGAGGACATGTCCCCATCACCATGTGCCCTAGTCAGCAGTGTGCATACTGTGAGATGGGAGGGTTAGGTTAGATGGTGAATGAAAACGTCTCTTTCTCCTGGGATTTTTCTCTAGCTTTTTAAAAAATCACCGTATGACAAATTTGCTTCCTAATGATTTTTGAGTAAACTACAATGGCCACAATTTCAAAATCATTAATAATTCATGACCAGAGGCCATAAACACTACATAATCTCTACAGGCAGGAATCATGAATACTCGTTAGAGGTGAGGCCAAGAATATTTTTACCAACTGAACTGAAAGTATTTGCTGCTGCAAAGCAGCCATCAAGGGACATTTCAGAACCAAATGTGGCCTTCCCAGCACCTCAGCTCAGCCTGCCTCTTCCAGGAAGCCTGTCCTACCTCTGGGGCCTAGAGGCCTTATGTGGGTATTCTGTGCTGTTCATCATTCTCCCTCTTGATCTCTGTCTGTGGTATCTGGAGTCAGTGATGGCTGAGGGGCTGGGTACCAGGCAGGCTGTGCACAGTACATGGGGGATTAGCAGGCAGGGCTGCCTCATGCTCTAGAAACCCATTCTCGTCCTCATCTGCACGTGGGCACTGCTATCAGTTAACAAATTCGGATACCTGGATCCTCACCTAGAGCTTGACTAACCAGTCTGAAGAGACCTAACAGAAGAGCTCAAAACTCCCAGACAGGCCAGGTGTGATGACATAACCTTGTAAACCCAGCACTCTGCAGGCAGAGGTAGGACGATCACAGATTTGGGAGCTGGAGAGATGGCTCAGTGAGTGAATAAAGCATTTGCCTTACAAGTGCAAGGACAAGAATTCAGATTCCCCAGAACCAACACAAAAACCTGACAGGGGGCCGGGCGGTGGTGGCGCACGCCTTTAATCCCAGCACTCGGGAGGCAGAGGCAGGTGGATCTCTGTGAGTTTGAGGCCAACCTGGTCTACAGACTGAGGTCCAGGACAGGCTCCAAAGGTACACAGAGAAACCCTGTCTCCCAAAACAAAACAAAACAAAACAACAACAAAAACCAACAGGGGTGGCAACCACCTGTATAATACCAATACCTGGGCGGCAGAGACAGAGGATCCCTATGGCAAGCTGGCTAGCTAGACTAGATGAAACAGGCAAAGTCAGAGTTCAGGGAGAGAGCCTGTCTTTACGTAAAGTGAAGAACAATAGTAATCGAGTAATACACTCAACTTCAACTCCTGCACAGACTCAAACACATGCACACCACACACATACATAGGGAAAGAAGACAAAGGGAAAGAGAGAGGTGGGAGAGACAGGACTTCAATAGGGCATGAGCCAAACACAGCACTGCTTTAGGTTGAATGTGGCCTGGCAAGTTCACTGGGACCCCACACACCCCTCACTGTGTCAGCCCATGACCCCACACAAGGAAGGCACAGTCCTCATTTGACCCGGGTGGAAACTGCATTTTCACCCTCTGGGGAAGGAGTGGCCCACAGAACTTCACTGGAGAAAGAACATGACACTCGTCCCCAGCTGCTTGTTCCAAGCAGCTCTGACAAAGAGACAGCTTATCTTTGCCTTACCTTTCATGGTGACACGGATTGATCTACGGTTGGTAGTCTGCATAATGCACACAGTGCCACCGACTAGTGAGGGGAGGGGTACAGAGAGGCAGGGTTGGGGAGGCCAAGTTCTGGGGACCAGGGAAAAAGTCCAGCAACGCGCTATTAGCTTTGTTCTTTGTTTTTCAAACCAAACTGGAAGCCTGTTGAGACAGTCAGCCGGCACTCTCTCTTTTAGAGGGCCTGAAGCCATCTTAAACATCTTTCAGAATTCAACCTGGCGTTGAGATAAACAGCCTTGTGTTTTGTTTTTCACTTCAAGCACTTTTTAGAAGAGAAATGATCTGAAATGCTCTCAGGCAATTGGCACAATGGAGATGCTGGGAAAGTAGCAATTAAGAGGTTCTGTTGCTAAGAGAGGGCAGAGGGAGAAAGAATAGGAAGCTCGATTTATTCCATCAACCCCCGACCCCCCGGAACACAGGACTTGATCAAAGAGCCCTATGGTACCATATGCTTATGCCACTTCCTGCCTACCTGAACTTTAAAGGTCTTGTGTTTTCTTTATGCATGTCTCTCTGACTTTGACCATGTTGTTTCCTTGGACTAAAAAACTCCTGCTTATCCTTTAAGAGGAGCCTGTCTATCATCTTTTCCACAAAGATTTCTTTCCTTTCATGTTTCCTTAGACAAGCAAGGGCTTGCCATACATGCTAGACTGACCTTGAACTTCAAATCATCCTTCCTCGACCGTCAAAGAGGGGAGATTATAGGCCTATCCACCTTTCTTTTTTTCTTAAGATTAATTTTATTTCTAATTATGTGTATGTGTGTATGTATGTATATGCCTGTGTGGGTATGCACATATGAGTGCAGGCGTCTGTGGAGGCCAGGAGAGAGTGTCAGATCTGGGACTGGAGTTACAGTGGTTGTGAGCCAGCCTATGTGGATGCTGGGAACCCAACTCTGGTTCTCTGGAAGATCAGGGCATATGCTTACCTGCTGACTAATTCTCAAGTCCAACAGAGCCTTTCTTGATACTACAGACAGGTTAGGAGACTTGGTTTCTGCCCTTCTATCCACTTTCTCTACCTTATGATGTTTCTCACGCTGTAGAGCAAAGGTCCTGGGGCACTTCTCTTCTAAGTACACAGCACATATAGCAATTGTTGTCACACTATCCCCAGTCCCAGTGCCGAGGTCCTGAGCAAACAGGCTCAGTGGGGCAGCTTTCAAGAATGGTCAAGTACTGTGTCAAAGTGAGTCCTTGGCTGGAGAGATGGCTCAACCATTAAAGGCTAGGCTCACAAGAAGTGAGGCCTGGTCCTGGGTGTGGTGGAACACACCTATAAATCCAGAACTTAAGAGGAGTAGGAGAGGGCTGGAGAGATGGCTCAGAGGTTAAGAGCACTGGCTGCTCTCCCAGATGTCCTGAGTTCAATTTCCAGCAACCATGTGGTGGCTCACAACCATCTGTAATGAGATCTGATGCCCTCTTCTGGCCTGCAGGCATACATGCAGACAGAATACTATACATAATAAATAAATACATACATACATACATACATACATACATACATACATACATACATACATACATAAATAGAGGAGTAGGAGGGTCTCTAGTACAAGGCCAGCCTGGACTCTATTGCAAGTTCTGGACTATTTGACAATCTGGGCTGAGACTTCATGTCTCAGGAAAGAAAAGGAAAAGCCAACTTCCCCACCCTTTCCCCCCTTTCTTTCCTGTTTATTTTCCCCACCCTTTAACCTATCCTGCGTTATGGCTTGTTTTGAAGCTCCTAGACCCAGATGAGGTTGAAAAACAACCTTTTAAATTCTTAGAAAAGATGAAAGTGACTCTGTACTCTTTGGAAACCCAAGACTCAGGAGGTCTTGCAGCTGGTACCCCCCCCCCTCCTCTTAGACTCTGGGAACTCCATGGTTGGAGATGGAGACAGCATGTAGAGAAGAAGGCACCTTGACTAGCACCCAGCAAGCCCTGCGGACACAACTGAGCCCTAGCTGAGAGCAGGGGAGCCTGGCCTGTCAGCAAGACTCTCAAGGAAGGCCAGACTGCTGACTCACAGACTCAGGGACTAAATGCATGGCTCTTGTTCCAAGCCGCTGAAATCCGGAGTTAGCATTACGCCATACTGGTCAATGTGCTCGGTGAAAGATCATTACAAATGACAATGGGTCGACGTGTCTAGCTGCCAGCTCTCACTTGGCCTAGGATTTGGGCTGGAAACCTTCTTCAAGAGAAAGGAGAAGGAGGTCACAGAACGTCTGTTCACACCCTCCCATCTCCAGGCTCTTGCAAACAGCAGTGGGTGCAGTTACCTCCTTTCTCTCTCGAGAGCAGGACCGGCTTCTCTCCACCTTCCGCAGGGCCTGACCTGTAGCAGTTCAAAAGCAGAAGCAGAGATTAAGGCTGCTTGGGAACAACCAGTTTATCACCACAAAAGCTTTTTATTTGCAAACTAGAAAGATAGGACCAATCATAATGAGATGATTCTAAGAAAATGTAGCCTGTTATTATAATGGGAAAATGGCACACTTTTGAAATGGACCAACGGCAAGGAAAATGGTAATTCACACACTCACAGTATTTGACTATAATGAACAAACCTCCAGCCCTTTAATCTGGGCCATTATCTGCACTCTGAAAGGGCCAAGGGACTGTAGTTTTCCCTGTCGAATTACATTTCTATTAAATTGTTTGGAATTACATAAAACGTCTTCCATAAAAATGCCTTCTGCTGTCTGCATAGCCATAAACTTAGGTGGGTGCATTCTGAGGCGCTGCACCAAACCCTAGACTCACAGCTCAGGTGACGTGCAGAAGTGAATTAGCAGTAATCACATGCGCTTCACATAATGGGCAATTTCAGAGAGAATCCTTGCTTTTCTCTGAACGCCTTAGACCAGCATTTGAAGGTATGCGTAACGTCAGGAGGCATCATCTCCTGCAAATGCACTTTCCAAAAGCATGTTTTCACACCTGTGATGGGAGTGTCCACTAGAAAAGCTCCTAACAGACTGCCTTGGTATTGAAATAGAAAATAGAAGTCATCGTTTCTTGTCAGTGTGTCTACTAAACTGCCCTACTTGACTCCCATGGGGCTATTTGTGACAGCCACAACCACATGTCCTGTTAGGTAAGAGCTCTCAGAAGGCAGAGGCAACAGGCTCAGCGACAGTGGAGTGAGAAAGAGGAGATGGGGCCAAGTCTCAGACAAAAGGGGTTTGTTTTCGATAGTTTTCATGTTACCTGCTGCTAAAGTTGAGTCTTGAATGTCCATATGTCATGCTTTGAGTTTTTAGGATGTAGGACCTGGCTGGAAGAAGCAGGGGGTTGGCCTCTGAAAGTTATAGCCACCCCTGGGTCCGCCCGTGTTCTCTGTTTCCTGGTACATGCCATGTGAACAGCCAAGGCCTCGAAGAAGAACGCTGCTACACAAAGCCACCACTGTTTCCATGCCTCTCCTGACACACTGAACCACAAAACCACGAGCCAAAATTAAATCTTGCCTTCCTTAAGTTGTTGTTTTCAGGTATTCTGTCCCAGCACCAAGAAAAGTGACCAAGATGCCACATGTCTTGGTCCCAGCTTATGGGGTTATTGGAAGGTGGCAAAAACCTTTTGAAGGTAAGGACCAGTGGAGGCAAGTTAGGTCTTATTGGGAACCCGGCCCTCCCTCCTCCTCTCTTTGCTTCCTGGCCACCATGAGGTGAGTAGCATCCTCCAAATGCTCCCACCATGCTGCTGCTGCACAGGTCCAAAACCAATGGGCCAAGGGACCATGACTAAAACCTCCCAAACTGTGCAGGTGCAAACAAACATTTCCTGTATAAACTGATATTTTCAGGAATTTGTTACAGTAACAGAAACCAGGCAACACCTCTGCTCTGCTTACAATGACCCTTTAATCCAATCTTTTCTCTTTTCTTCTCTCCTCAGTTCACAGGGCTAGACCCCTGGAGCAACCATAGCCATATGTAACACCATGCTCCAAATCTCAGCATGTCACCCCTCCCAGAAACAGCCCAGCAGAATCTCAGCCCCAGGAACTTGAAGTTATTTTTGATACTCAAAGAGAGGGGCAAAGTGGGGCTGATCCTGTTTGTGAGCTTTGATGCTGTGCATTGCCCTGGATCACCTGCCCTGGGACAGACAGACACAATGTCAGGACAGGAGGGACCAATATGAAACTTCAGCATGCTTTGTGATCCACAGACAACCCCCTTCAGCTTTTCTGACAGTGTATGTTTTCCTTCCACCTCAAGACAATGAACTACTTAAGATTCAGTGATTTTAAAGAGCCTATAATAAGGTACTGGGACACAGAGTGTCCATGGTGGGGAAGGCTAGTGCAGAGCAAGGCCCTGGATTTCATCCCCAGTGTCACAAAAATGATTATGAGGGTGGTTTTATATGGAGATGGAGTTATATAGGAATTTTGTACTTTCTGCTTAATTTTGCTGTGAATATAAACTTGCTTTAAAAAATAAAGTTTATGGGCTGGAGAGATGCCTCAGTGGCTAAGAGCACATACTGCTCTTGCAGGACCCAAGTTCAATTCCCAGCACCGATATCAGGCAGTCCACAACCACCTGTAACTCCAGCTCCAGGGATTCAGAGCCCTCTTCTGGTCTTCATAGGCACCTGTTCTTCCCTCCTACCAACACACACCAAGTTTACTAATTTATATTTGGAGCATTGGTGTCAACCAAATCAAGTCAACCAAAAAGAGACTAAGGTCTAAGAACCAGGAGATATAGTTATTGGACTAATTTAATCATGGCCTCATGAAACTCAATGTTCTGGGACAGGACCTAGAGAGAACACTCCAGAAGCCATTGGCCACACCTGCTCTGGCTGTCAGCCTGTGGACTCCAAGCAGTTCCTTGGGCTGGCCAGAGAAGATGATATGACAGGTAGTCTGGTCTGCCCACACAAAGCAGACCCAGATGGGTCTGAGCTCAAAGAGACTACATGGTATGGTGATATATTTTGTACCTTAATAAAATTTGCCTGAAGACCAGGGAACAGAACAAGCCACTAGATTAAACATATATGCTAAGCAGTGGTGGCACACACTTCTAATCCTAGCACTGGGGGGGGGGGGGGGGCAGAGATCTGTCTGGATCTCTGTGAGTTCAAAGCCACCCTAGACTATATGAGATTGACTCAGTCTAGGAGAGGAAACAGAGCCAGCAGTAGTGGCACACGCCTTTAATCCCAGTACTTGAGATCTCATGCCTTTGCTACCAGTATTTGGGAAGCACACACGCCTTTAATCCCAGCACTAGGAAGGAAGTGAAATAGCTGGGCAGAGAAAGGCATATAAGGTGTGAGGAGACGGGAGCTAGAAGCCCTTTTTGGCTGGACTCCTTTCGGTGGAGGACTCAGAGGCTTTCAGTCAGAGGTGAGAAGTAGCTGTGGCTTGTTCCTTTGTCTCTCGATCTTTCAGCATTTACCTCAATATCTGGCTCGCTCCGGGTTTCCGAGCAACAACATGGGCTCGAGGCCAGGGATGTCAAGACGAGGATACAGACACAGTGGTGACAGTGCTGGCCCAGGACAAGGCAGGGAGCAGGAGGGCAGTTAGGAGCCAACTAGGCAGCCTAAGTCTAGCAAGGTCCTTCCTTCACCAGTCACACCAACTGAGGCTCTGCTCTGGGAGAGCACAGAGCAATCTGGAACTTTTGCTAAGTCCAAGGCTCTCTGGGGCATAGCTGCCTCCTGGATTGTGTATAAGCTGGATGTGGTGGTGCATGCCTTTAATCTCAGCACGTGGAAGGTAGAGGTAGGCAGATTGCTGTGGGTTTGAGGCCAGCTAGAGCCATGTACTAAGAAATAAATAAAATGAAATAAAGGTGAGTTAGTCCAAACGATCACTGTTCATCTCCTAAAATTCCATTACGGGTTGGGGAACGGCCTAATGGGAGCAGAGTCTGTCTAGCATGTATAAGGTCTTGTGTTCCATCACCACACCACAAGCACATACAAATAAAACAAAACAAAATTTCAACACAGTTAAAACAAAACTTGAAGGCAGGTCACACAGACTTTAACTACTTTAAAACTTGAAGGTACATCTCTCTAGTGGAGTTAATTAGAAGTGTCTTTATTCATTAAATTGGAAAATAATTTGCTTATCTTCCAATGAAGATAATGCACTCTAATTACGAGCATCTGTATCTAACCTCCCTAGAAGCTGGCTGGGTCCTCACACCCAGGAGCCTCTCTCTCCTGCAGGGAGCGCCATGATGACCACTTCTTGGCAAAAACAGAGAGAATGTACTCAGATTCCACTGCACCTGCCTGCTGCATCTGGCACCTCGGTGTGTCTCCCTACTTGTAGCTCATTTATCCTTACAACAATCAAGAGAGAGAAGTGGAAGAAGGTGACATTAATATCAATATACACCGCCTGCAAAATGAAAGGGGTGTTTCTCTGCACTTTGCAAGGTGACCTGCCTGCATCAGCTCCAGAGCAATAAATAAGGCCAGATGTAAATGCTATGTGTGTGCTTCACTCTCGAGGACAGATGTGTGCCTGGGGAAATGAAAAGAGACGTGAACCCACTGAGCTTTTGTAAATAGAACACGTTCCCTCCATTTATGGCTGGAGAAGGGCTTTATCTGCACTTAGGATTTATTGTCAGTGGTTAGGATCTGACACTTCAGTTTTACTTTGCTCTAGATGTAGATAATATTCACCACTACCATTTAGAGGGAGTCATGTCTTCATCGGAAGTCATCGGGTAAGAGGAAAATCATGTCAAAATTACCCTTGAAAATGAGCTTAAGCCACTCATAATGTACAGGACAGGACACAGCGTTTTAGACCCACCACTGCAGACTAATGCATGTGTGTAAAATCTGGTGCATATGGAAATATAGTACAAGATAAAAATACACATGCAAAACTATCTTTACGGTGTCCCTCATTAAACTAACCCTATGCAGCTGCTCCCTCTATTTTCCTCTATTGAGGAAGGGGAAAGAGGTGGGGATACAGGCAAGAGCAGAGTTCTGCATTCACAGGTCAGCACCTGGCTGCTACAGCTCTACCATGCTAGTCAGTCCCTGTTTGCTTCTATATGGAGGTACCTTCCTGAACCCCCACTACCACTTTTGTTAACCAGGGATAAGTAAAGGCCACACAGTAAGTATTATTGGCTGTATAATGCCTAAGGTCATAAGACTACAAGGTCTCTGGCACTGATACTTTGCCACTATAGAGCAAAAATAGCCATGGGTAATAGGCAATTAAACAGCATTACTGTTTCAATAAATCTTTATTTACAAAAGCAGGCAGCAGGCCAGATTTGACCAAAGGCTTGCTTTTTTTATATTATTACTTTATTGGTGCTGAGGATTGAGTAG